GCCTCAGAGGCCTCCAGGTGGCAGTGATTTCCAGCCAGGTTGACAAGCCCTCATCTCAGTCCATCAGGCAAGGCGGGTGTTTCCTTTGAGAAAAACAGGGCCCCAAGCCCAGCATAGTAGCTGGGGTGGACAGATCTCTGGGGAGCATTATGCCCCTGGAAAGACCACAAGGAACCCAGCCCTCCCATGAGAGACCTTAGTGCCCTCTCTAGGCCTGTCACCAATGTTTCTACAGGGTGTCTGAGGTCCCCTGCTCTCAGAGCAGCAAAGGTCAACACAGAGCAGACAGGCTTGGTATGTGCCATGTTTAACTTCATGTCGGTGTTAGGCGCTTCATGGGAAAAGAAAGTTGCTAGCTGTTTATCTGGGGTTTCTATTGCTGTGAAGAGACACCATGACCACAGCACCTCTTAGGAAAGAAAAAGATTTTAATTAGGGCGGCTTACATTTTCAGAGGTTTATTCGGCTATCATGGTGCGACATGGTGGCGTGCAGGCAGATGTGGTGCTGGAAAAGAAGCTGAGTATCCTACATCTTTCAGGAGACGGGAAGTGAACTGAGACACTGGGCGGTATCTTGAGCATATATGAGACCTCAAACCCACTCCAACAAGGCCACACCTCCTAATCTTACTATTCCTTTTGGGGACCATTTTCTTTCAAACCACAACACTGGCAGAGGATCAGAGCCATTGGGTGGGGTTGGCCACTAACAGGGGTGAGGAGACTCCAAAGAGATACTGAGGTGTGTGTGGGGTGGTGTTGAATAAGTCCTACAAGAGAGGACTCTGGGCTCCTCACAGATCCTAGGTCAGGATAGAGGGAGAGGAACTTTCCTTGTCACAGAGATAAAGAAAGCCAGGGTTTCTTTACCATCTAGGTCAGGTGGCCTGTTGCATTAACATTTAATCTTATCAGCCCCCTGGGAGACATTAAAGTTCCATCCCCACATCCCGACTGAGGGAACCCTCCTGGGGCAGCTGCTTCCACTAGTGAGGCTACCCTTCATTTCACAGTTCCTGCAAAAGACTCAGGCTCAGCATCGCCTTCCAAATTGCCCCAGGGCCCTGGAGCTGTTGTTGGATGGTCCCTGGGATAAGGGGACCCCTGGCATCTTGAGGCCTGGGTGGAAGGCACCGAGGCATCACGGGGTCCATTCCCAGAGATGCCAACCTGCGCCACAATAGCCAGTCTGCCAACTGTCTCTAGGACCCGCAAGTCCTCCCAGGTGACTCACAGTGAGAAGGAGAGGGGAACCAGGCGCACCTGATCCCCAGGTAAGAACGAGGATTTCATATAGTAGATTAAGGGAATTCTCTCACGAGGATGCCTCATTAGCCAGGCTTCCCAAATACCCAGGCTGCTTAGGACGGAAGGCGGCCTGACTTTTCGCCTTCCTATCAGCACCCACCCCCGGTGGGATGGGGGCACGCGAGGCAACACAGAGGAGGCTCTGAGCTCTGGCACAGACACCCGCATTGGGGGGGCGGGGTGTTGAGGTACCCTACTCTGCTACTCTGCAGGTCACAGGCTCCCTGCACACGGAGACTTTTGTCTCAACGCGACCTGCATGAATGGAATCATGCCCAATTAATTTCCGCATCTACCAACCACACCATGGACCTCCTACTTCCTAGGCCACTCTCTGCTGTTCAATATCCCAGTGGCCTCCAGGAAACTCGCCTGAAATCGTGCGGGAGGCTCCTAGTGCTATTAGGAGACCCCTTTCTCCAGATCTTGGAGTCTCCCGTTCCCTTTGGTATTGACTCTCTGCTTCAGGTCCACTGACCTTCGCACTTCATGCCTCCCCGCTTGCCCGCCGTGGTTTTCCCTCTCCTCCACCCCCCACATTGGGCTGGGCTGGTTTGACCCCCACCCCCACCCCCATCCCGCAGAGCCGCGGAAAACAGTTTCAGCAAAAAACGAATGGCAGTCAGTGCCTGGTTAGGAGATTTCCTCCTTCCTCCTCGCGACAGACTGGCAGCCTCGTGAGGGCGGTCGGGGGCCTGCCTGGCTGCCGAATTCTTTGTCTTCGAGGTGCCTCGGCAGGGGTCCGCTGGAGCCGCGCAGAATACACAGCGGCTGACCGAGGGCTCCTGGAGGAAGAACACTTCAAAAGGAACCTCCGGGCAGCTACAGAAGTGGGGGTGGGGGTCCCCATCCCAGGTCTGAAGTCCTTGTCAGTCACACACAGCACGCAGGCTTCCCACGTGCCACATCTAATACTGCAGGTTGGTTCCCTTCCCCGCCCACCCCTCAGCCAGGAGACCACCCTTCCTATCCAGGACCGAGCCTCGTATCCACTCTCACTAGCTGGTTTTGGAGTAAGAGTAACCTTTTACCGCCATGTGCAACCGACGCTGAGATTGGGTTGCCTTTCAGAGAGAAGAGGCTCTTGTGAGATACTCGTGGCAAGGGGGCTCCCTCACTGCCTGGGCAGGGTCCATTCCTGCGTTGCCACCCGCAGGCAGGAGGAAGAAAATTAAGCTTGTGTTGAAGGAAGGACACCTGGCAAGAGAGACGAAAGGACTCCGGAATCCCCTCCTCTGGGGAACTTTCAAGTGGGGGGAAATCCCCACGCAGGCCTCTGCTCTCTGCCGCGGCAACATGCGCGCGGCCACTCCCCGCCGCTGGTCCCCTCCTCCTTGCACTTTTCCCTGTGTTTGTTTCCTACCCGCTGAACAGCACCTGGGGCTGCCTCGGGCTCTAGGATGCATGTAAGAGGCACCTGCATACACACAGCCCGAACGACCAGTTTTAGCCACACCAGGACAGCTTCCCACGCTTCTCTCAGACAATCAGCATCTCACCTAAAACTTCCAAGGATCTTTGCCACCACCGTCTAGGGCTGGCACCTGTGGAATCTTCAGGTTCTAAATGACCCGAAGAAGTCGTTTAGATTAGCTCCTGCCTCCACACCACAGTGGCGTGTTGGAGGCAAGGGAAGGCAACATCCCAGCCCTCAGAAACACTAGCGTTGGGCTGCCGAACCCCAAGCTGTGGTGCAGAATTTGAGGTCTAACGTGAATCGATGTTCAGCAAACTCTGGGAATCTCCTCCCAAGAGAAGAGCTGCAATCCAGTACTCAGCTAAAGTACTGCACCAGCAGCCAGTACCTAACAGCTAAGATCCCGTGGAAGCTCTCTCTTGACTAAAACTTCAGCCCTGGGGCTCTACATTCCCGGATAGTGGCCAGCCCCCTCCTACTGCCCTCCCAGGTGAACCAGAAACGGGACTTCAGAACCTAGGGGGCATCTTTTGGGAATGCCCAGCCCCTGGAGGCATTTCTGGGGCTGCTTATCACAGTACCATCTTCCAGCCCCATGAGTGTTCAGCAGGTGTGTGTGTGTGGGGGGGGGGGTTACTATGAGGCTCCTTAACCCTCTTCACTTCTTGTCTTCTTCTTTCTCCCCCCTCTTCCTCTGTCTGGAAGCGCAAGCTTGTCCCACCCCATCCCCGCCCCTGTTTTCTGTCTCAGTGTCTCTATCCACTTCTCTCTCTATCTCCCCTTCCTCCCCTCTTTCATCTCTCCCTCTACCCCCTCCAGCCGTGGTTCGGGCTAGGAACGCGCAGAAGCAGTGACAAGCCCAGGCGGCTCTCCCGACCCTTGGTGCCCCCAGGGGCCAGTTCTTCACTCTCCCAACACCAGAAGCAGCAGTGTACCGAGAGCCGACCAGCAGGGGCAGTGGATCCGAGCTGTGGGCACCAGCCTCCCGGATCAAAGGCTAGGAATGTCTGCTTCACTGTGGGACTTCCCCCAACCCTGTCCACCCCTATCAGCGGAGAGCCCGCCGTTCCTGGCCAGGCACGTTTGGGTGGGCTTCTTTTCTGGCCCTCTACCGAGTTCGGAGAGCCGGTCCCACTAAGCCTCCTAGGGCTTGCTTTCTTGACCCCAAGTCAGGAGCATTTCAAGGGCCAAGTGTCTCCTGTACCCCGGGAGAGAGGCTGAGGGCAGATACTATCTAGGTGAATCCTAATAACCTAGGCATAATCTCGGCATCACTAGTGACTTAGACTTAGCTCCCAGACTCTGGAAAATAGGAAAGAAGGCCCCTTCGAGGCCTGGTCGCTTCCCCCTGCGTATGAACTATAGTAGGTCATGGGATGAATCTGGTGTCTGCACGAAACAACGCTTGAACACCGAACACCAGGTTCTACTTTCTCATCCGCAGAAGGGCCAGAAATGCAGATCAAAAGCCCTGGGCATAGGAGAGGGAGGGTGCTGCTGGAGGCCCCCAGCCACTACCGGCCAGGGCTGCCATCTTTCATTGGTCCCAAATGGTTTCACCCCAAGATCCAAAGGAAACTGCAGGTGCTGCTGAGGTCCGGCCTGCAAGCCCGCAGGAGAAAGTGACCGAGTCCTCCCGCAGGAAATGCTAACGGCGGCTGGTGTCAGTTGCAGGAAATGCAAAGGCTGCAGGAGGTCGTGATACCAATCTGACTCTTGACAAAAGACTCAAATGACACTAGCTCTGTCCCCCGGCGCCGCCGGCTGGCAGACCTTCGAGCCTCCGCGGACTCTCCTGTGCGCCCCTTGGACACCCTGGAAGAGACCTGCGACCGGCTGGCGGGGTCGCCTGCTCGCCGGCTCGGGAAGGCGGGAGGCTGGGAGGGGTTGTATTTCCCGAGCCCCTGATCCCAGTCGCGCGATCTGCAAACAACCCCTTGCTTTCTATTCTTGATTCCTTACGGGCCCAGTCCCAAGGGATCACAGTTCCACCGACAGAAAAGCGAGCCACCCATCAGTGCCCAAACCGACCCCTTCACCACGTGAACGCCGGGTCAAAGCCCTAGCTCCCTAAACCTGACTCGCGTGGTCTGGGGAGGAAGCGTCTTGGGCCGGCAGAGAATCCATCGTGCCGGGTCCTCCCGAGGCCTCCGTGCGCCCGGGGCGCAGGCTTTGCCCAAGTTTGCCGGGAGATGCCCTTCCCAGAGCCGGAGTTGTGGGCCGGGAGGGAGGGGCGCGTGATTGACAGGCTGAACTACAGACTCATCTCTTACCTTAGGCCGCGGGCGCTGATTGGCTGCTCGCTGACATCCTCAAACCCGGCTGCTCCGCGCTGGGCTCCGGAGGGGGGCGGCTGCGGGTGGAGGTGCGCTTCTGACTAGCCCGAAAGTCATTTCCAACCTCAAGTGGACTTTGTTCCAACTATTGGGGGCGTCGCTCCCCCTCTTCATGATCGCCGGCAAACTTCCTCCTCGGCGCTGCTTCTAATGGAGCCCCACCTGCTCGGACTGCTACTCGGCCTCCTGCTCAGTGGCACCAGGGTCCTCGCCGGCTACCCAATTTGGTGGTAAGACTTGCCTCCCGTCTGCTTGCGGCCCCGATCTCTCGGCCGCGCCCGGGAACGGTGGGGGGCGCTGGCCGGGTCTGGGCAGCGGCAGGCCTAGGGCTCCTTTCTCCTTGCTTCCCTCCAGCCCCCCAGCCGTCCACCCCTCCTGGATTTTCTGCTGGTGTTTCCTACCGAATCCAACTCCTGGCTTCTCGGATAATCACCATTTTCCCTGCTACCCGCCGCAGAGGCGGGAGGGCTCTCCCTACCCCTGAAGGTCTCTCTTTCTCAGTCTTCACCCTCTCCTACTCTAATTTGGGGGGGCGGAGACCCTTGGTTCCCTTACATTTGGATTTCTGTGCTGTCCCTGGGGCCCGGCCACTCCTCTTCTCCATTTTAGGGTCTATACACGGGCAAAATTACCCTGTCCTTCTTCGCCACCCTACCTCTTCCGTGTCTCGGTCAAAAGATTGCTTCCACAATACTCACGTTTGCCTTCATATTTCAGACCCTAAGGGCTTTGGGGATCCTAAAGGGGACTTGGGGGGCATTTCACCAAATTTCCCCCACTCTGCTCTAGATTAATTTTGAGCCTCCGAAGTGAATGTAGAATTTGCTGGTCCTAGATGCCATTGCTGGTCCGGGTGGATCCGTTCTTTGCTTGTCCAGCCCGGAGAAAAGAGGGTTGGGGCTCTCTGAAAATGTACTTGTTTTGGAGGGAGAGGTTTGTGTTGTTCTTTGAGCGAAACCCAGTTCTCCATGTCAAATTCGTTGCATTTGGGAGACGGAGAAGGGAGGAGAAAGGAAGAGGGAAAGGGGAATTCTGTCCCTGAGAAATACGGATACAAAAGGCATTTTATGGTAAATAAGGCTGGGAAAGCAGGCGGCGTACTTCGGGGCTCACCGGGTGTGTGAGGGGACTGACTGGAAGATAAACAGCCTTTTGGGAGCCCCCCGGCTCCAAGGACGCCCCTGTTCTCCCAGCTCCAGTGCTGCTCCCCCTCTGCAGGTCCTATAGGGGAAGGCTCTAAAACCAGTTTTCTAAATTATACCCCAGGTCTCCCAGTCTCCAGCCCCCTGCATTCCGGAAAACTTTAATAAAAGAAACCTCCCCTCCTGGACAGCAGCAGGCGGCCTGGGGGTGGGAGGTGAGGAGGAGGAATTTGGGACCTGTGAGTAAGATGGAGACTGGCCCCTTGGGTGCAAGTTAGACAGGAGGTGAAGTGCTACCTGAATGCCCCCTCCTTCTTGCTACTTGCAAGCCTACAACGTGAGGCTCAGAGCCTACCAGATGCCAGACCACACCCCAAATCTTCCAGCTGCTTTAAGGATATCTGGGGGCTAAACCATGGCCTGGCCAAGGGTCTATTTAGAAGGACCAAGAGTTGCCCCTGAGGCAGATACCCCAAGGATAGACAGGCTTTTCTCCCTGTGGGCTTGGGCTGGTCTGAGGCCTTCCGTGTGGTGTATACAGAGCCTGTGCAAGCTGAGGGCAGCCAGGGATTCCAGGGTGGGGATCTGCCAGCTGCCTCCTGACTCTTTTTCTATCCCTCAGCCGAGGCAATGCTCTACCTTCTCTGGGAGCAGAGGAAGAGATGCTTGGAGCACTCGAGATGACATGGAAGAGGAGAGTGGGCTTCCTAGTCCTGTGAACTGGAAGAGAGCACTTCCTGGGGCAATACCAGGGGGTTAGATGGTGGTAGCAGTAGGGTTTGTGTGTGATGGTGTCCAGGAATGTCTAGATACGGTCGCCAACCAACAAGAAGAGATACCAGGAAAACCTAGAAGGCTGAGACAAGCCCTAACATAATGCTGCACACATGGCCTGTTTGGGGGTCGAGGGGGGAATCAGGTGGCTGCTTTGTCTGAGCCAGAGAGAGAGAGAGAGAGAGAGAGAGAGAGAGAGAGGAGATTTTAGAGACTGGTGGTTTGTCAGTGCCTGTGGTTGCCTCTGTGTATATGGTGCAGTGTGCTCTGGGTCTATGACCCTGAGAAGTATGTCTGTGAACCAGTGTGTCTTTCTGGGTGAGAGCTGGTAATGCCTGAGACCCAGGCAACTGTGCATGTGAAATCTTGTGGCCTGTGCCTAGGAGATCCGTGGCCCACTGCATACAGGTATCAGCAAGTGGTTGATTCTGTGATGTGAGACAGGAGTCTGGAAGTATCTTTGCTTGTGTGAAGGGGACAGCCTGGCTTCTGCTTGTGATACTGGACGTGAGAATATGTGTGTTTGGATCTGTGAGTTGTTTGTGCATGTGTCTGTGTAAGACCCTGCACACTTGAGCATGCCTTCTTGACGGTATAAGGGGGGAGGTTCCGCAAATGTCCTTGTGCATGCTATCGGTGTTTGGGGCATGATCTGCTCGTGGTTGGAAGTATGAGAGCGAGCCTTGTACTGATACCTGGAGGAGGGCTGTGTCTAGGCCTGCTTCTGATCTTGTCCCCTAGTGCCAGTAGCATAGTTTTGTGCCAGTGGTTATGTGTCTGTGGCTGTGTTTGCTGACACCTGACTTGTGGGCGTGAGGGACACCTGAGATAGGGTGCCTGGACATCCATGGCCCTGAGGGGAAGGACAGGCAGGAAGTGGATGTCTTAGAAGGTAGTTGCAGACACAATTGACCTGGGCTCCCAGCTGGAGTGGGGGCAGGGCCTTCCTTGGCACCAGCGTGCCCCGTCCGCTTGAAGACTACGGCCACTGACCGTCCTTCTTTGGTGGTTTCCTTTCGGCCTTAGAGCTGGGGTGGGGCATGAATCACCTTCTTAGGGCTGGAATTGGAGAATGGTAGGCCTCGAATTCTTGATTCCCCCTCTGCCCCCAGGCAGGCAGATTCCAGTCCTTTTAGCCTGTGAGTCCATCACTGCCTGCCCTCCTTGGCCCACCCAGAACACACATTCCCCAGGAGGGGTTTACAGGAGAAATTGCTTAGCTGGGATTTCGGTCCACATCGACAAACTGCAGATGAGGAAGGGGCTCTGAGAGGCCTCTCGCTCTAGAAGGAAGCCCTGTGCCCCAGACTCTCCGAGCTAGGCAGTGGCTGCACTGGCCCAGGAGAAGTGGCAGCAAGCCTGGTTTGTAGAACTCTCCCTGTCAATACTAGTTAGCTACAGGTAGAGAAATCTATCCTCTTCCTCGGGAAAAACCGATCTTCCGAGGGTCTTGCCTGTGTCATCTCTGCTCCACAGGAGATGCCTGATAAAAGGGGCTTGGTTGGCTGGGTGACTCATCTCACTGTGTGACTAAGGACCGTTGACCCCCTCCCTTATTCTAGGCCACTTTTCTCACATTTTACCCAGGGTCACCTGCCCACCCAAACTTGCAGTTTAAGGGAAAGATGTTTTGCTGAGGCCTCCAAGCCTGTCAGGCTACCTGGGCTCTTATTCTACCACTCCGGGGCCCATCCCCCGCCCAAGCACCTAGCGTAAGCCCTGCCTCAGTTTCTCCATGTGTCACATCCTGCTGCCTCTCCCCTGCTCAACACCCACCCAACAGCCGGGCGTTCAGAGGCATGGGAACGTGTTCAGTCAAACCCCGGTGGGGGTCAGTAGGCTGGGCCCAGGGAGGCACCTGGAGACTGCGGGGGAGGAAGGCCCCAGGCCAGGTGTTAACACTTGTAACAGGCAGGTATTACAGCTGGCTGGGGCTAGGGCTGGTGAGGAGCTGAGCTTGGCTGGAGGCTGTTGATCCCACAGACAGACAGACAGATGGGAGATACCAGCTCGGATGGCCAAGCTTCAGCAGGGTGGTCGCCCTTGCAAAGAAGATCTTGCCTTGGGGGATTCGTCTGGGGGAAATGAATTTGGGGCCCCCTGGAAATGAGTTCACGGCCCTCCTGTCCAGCCCACCCCTATTGTGGCTGGGACCTCCAGCTCCAAAGGGAGCTCAGTTGGTGGTAGATCTGTTTGTGTCCTTCTGACAGCATCAAATATTGATTGTTAAGTAAACAAACAAAAAAGAAAACAGGTCCAAAGATGTTCTTTTACCAGGAGCTGTGTCCTTGGGAATAACCTACTGGAATACATAGGAATGAAGGCAAGTGGGGGGGGGAGCGGAGGGGGATGCAGCTGTCAGGGGAAAGTCCCCCCAAATTTCCAAGTGTCTAATTGACAGCTTGGTGTGACCTGCTCCTCCATCCAGGAGATTCTGAGGTCTGGGGATCCTGGCTGTCTGTCTATCCTGTAATGAATCCTGAAGGCAGAAGAGGTGACTGGGAGTCTAGACCATTATAAAGCTGGTACTTGCTGAGCGGCTGCCAAGCTCTAAACTCAACAAGAGCTCTCCAGGGCCCGCATTCTCTCACATCTGGGCTCCTGCTCCATCCGATTAAAGAGACATGAGGCAGACAGCAGGGCAGGTGGTGTCCCAGGTAAGAATCCCTAAGGAACAGACTGGTCCAAGCCAACTTCTCCCATTCTGTCACTACAGAACTCAGTCTGCTGGAGGATGCAGCCAGCTGGGGAATCAGAGCTAAATCCAGCAGCCTCCGACCAAAGCTGCCGAAGAGAAGGGCCTTCCCTACCTCTACCTACCTAGAAGGCTAGGCCCCTACATATTTTTTTTTCCTTTTGTGGGGAGTGAGATCAAAACAGAATTTCTCTGTGTAGCCCTGGCTGTCCTGGAACTCGATCTGTAGACCAGGCTGGCCTTGAACTCAGAGATCTGCTTGCCTCCTGAGTGCTGGGATTAAAGGCCTGCGCCACCACTGCCACTGTCTGGCTATCTATTCTGTTTCTATATATTCGCACTGGGTGCTGGAAATTGTTCAGGCTGGGAGTAGAGAGACTCATGTCCAAGTTCTAAGTTTACCACGAGGCTGTGTGACCTGGAGTGAAGCTCTGTCCTTCTCAGTGTCCCAGGCATATAATGGGGACCCCACAGCAGACACTTGGGACCTGGTGCACCCCTTT